TTTGTTCGCGCTCCCCTTGGCGCTGAAAGACCAGAATCTTGGCTGCCGCTACGATCTTGGGCTGAAGATTCACCAGCTCCCGCCGAGGTGTTGCCCGCCATAGCTACCTATAACGAGGATCACTATAACGCGGCTCTGATACCAGCTTGTTGGTGTAAGGGCCTAATAAACTCAAGCTATTAGGACTTAATCAAACTTAAAACCTCTCCTCGGGGTCACCTCCAAGGGTCCCTGGGTGCCTGGTACAAGACCAGCCCCTATCCTCGGGTCCGAGTTTGTAGAGAGAGGGATCAAGAAGGACTTAGTCAAAACAGCAAGAGCACCTTGAACGTCGCGCAGCGTGCCGTGCAGACCGTCGATCGGATTAAGCTGAGAATTCGCTATATCGAAGCTCGCTCCAAGAGCTTTAAAATGAGCCAAGTTGCCTCGCGAAAAGTTCTGCCATTACGAAGTTATGGCTCAGACGGTGTTTGCCTAGCATTAGAGTGCTAGCGTACTAGCGTTGACTCGGGTAGCATTCCGCCAACGAACCGCGTAGAAACGAAATTCCAGCGAGGAAGGAATTCACATGAATCAATTTGACTATGTTCAGGTACAAACAGAGAAGGATTAAATAGTTCTAGCTAGCAAGGACCTTGGGAATCAACCTGGGAACAACCAGGGATGATCCCAAATAATTCCAAGCAACAGAACCAACCTGGCTGGACAAAATAGCAGGTGGTAGGTTGGTAAACAACCTCTGGTTCCGTTTTTCCAACCTGGGAAAACAACAACCAGGTTCAGGTTCTAAAAACAGAACCTGTTTTGTCTTTGCCCAACCAGCCAAATGCTGGTTCCGCTGGTTTCCCCTGGCCTTGTAGCATGCAGATACAGACAAACAACATCCAACCTTCACCTAAATTGTACCCCTATAGTGCCTTCCCTGCTACACTATAGTTAACCAAACAAAACAGTACAATTTCGAGTTGGATAGAACTGAATCTGCGCAATCAACTTAACCGAACTGCAAAGCTTCTATCTTGGGTTCCTTTGCGAGCTCGTCCTTTCTGCTTGCACTGTTCATAGCGCGTACAATGTTGTGCCGAAGCGCACATTGCGCGAGTACCTGCAAATGCATCAAGCGAAAAATGCGAAAGCAAACAAACACACGAACACACCATTCACACGCAAATGCATTCGCACACGCATACTTGTACAAACAGACGGCAGGATGTCGTGCAATGTGCATTTGCACCCAACACTCTCCCTTTGAGCTCTCTGTCAAACTATAATTGTTTTAGCTTGTTAGTTTAGTCTAGGTGTTATACTGAGTTATGCTGTAGAGGGTATAACCCCCTCAGGGTTTGCTATATTCTCCATTGTACTTCTTGTTTCTTCTCATTCAGAATTCCATTCAATCGTTGACACTCTCGGCATCCACTCCTTAAGAACAGCCGCTGCCACCTCCCCCTTAGTCTTCAGAGGGTACACCCACACCGCACGCGTGTGGTCGGCCACAAGGGTCAAGAAGTAGCGGCTTCCTGAAAGAAAAAGGCCCCTCGTGGGGCCCACCACATCCATGTGCACAAGTGCAAGTGGAGCCTTGGCTGGTCCCGTGCTGCTGTTGAACGGGAAGGTTCCCGTTCCAAGGGATGATGGGCAGCTGCCACAGGTCCTTGATGCAGCTGCTCTTCTCCTCCAGATTCCACAACAACAGCTTCCCAAGCTTTGCACGACAGATGGTTGGGCCGAAGGTCATTTTGGCCTTGCTCTTCTGCATCAGACACACAGAAAGAAATTTAGCTGACAACCTTTCAACCAACAATACGTTCCCAAGCCACACAAGCTCCCCATTGTCTCCCATCATCTTAGCATTCCCAACACCAAATACAGGGAGCAAAGCACCTGAAGCCGCAGTCACAAACTTAATCTTCCCAGAGGGCTTTTCCTCATCAAGCAAATCTGCACGCGGTGTCATATGACTAGTGCAACCTGAATCAATCACCCAGTGAGTGAGGGGGTGCATCACAACATTCTTAACTGAACCCACATTACCTTCACTCCTATTCACATCTTCAACCATGAGGAACATCCCAGGGGAGGCTTTACCTTGTGCACCATCACCTTGTGCACCTGAACCTTGCACAGCACCACGTTGCACACGTTCACCACTTGGCGGCTTCATGCCTGGAGCCGGCTGAAACACTTGAACCATAGATATCCAGCCTTCTTGCAGTACCAGCATGCACCCTCCATTCGGGTGCTCCCCCTGCCACCAGATTTCTCATGCCCCTCATTGTAGTCACTGCGGAGATAACTCTGTCAACGGGAGCTAGACTACGGGCTAGGCACGGGGTAGGAGTGATCTCTGCGTTCGTTCCTTAGTCGTTTGCCTGTGTTCACACTACTTGCGCATTCACGGGGAAAATTGGCAAGAGTTTCACTAGCAAAAATTCACAACCATGATATTCAGAACTATAGCAACAACATTGGCATGCAAGGCTACATCAGAGCTAGCACAGCTGCTGGTCGACTTCCAGCGCAGCATGGTCGACCGCGGTCCAGCGCAGCAGAGCTCGCACCGCTCCAGCGCAGCAAAGTAGCGGCTTGCCAACGTTGCAAGTCTGCGGTGCGCCAACGCTGCAGCAAGTCGGCTGCACAGCGTTGCACCCGCAGGACAACGGTGCACCTGCTTCGCAGGTGCGTGCAGCTGGTTGGTGCTCCACACCTCGTCACGAGCACAGCGCAGAGGCCTAGCAGAATCCACGCCAGCGACTACGCCCACCAGCCACGTCGACCTCGGGATAAGGCCCAGCCCCGAGGTCACCTTCGCAGAAACCATCCCGGCGACTTTCGCACACGTTGCCCAGGTATCCCGGACGACCGGGCAACCCCGCCTGGTCGTCCAGCCCAGTCGGTCGTCGACTACACCAAACCCGGCGTCCCAGGGTCGGCGTCCTGGCGTCCAGGTCGGCGTCCACTCGCCCAGGACGCCGTCCAGGCGCCCAGGTCGGCGTCCAGGCGCCCGGGACGCCGAGCAGACGCCCAGGTCGGCGTCCAGCCTCCCAGGACGCCGTCCAGGCGTCCAGGACGCCGCCCAGACGCCGAGGACGGCGTCCACCTGTTCGGCGCCCTCCAGCCAGGCGCCCCCCAGCTCAACGCCCTTGCAGTGGCCCCCGTACCCACTGCTGCAGGTCGGCTGCATCCCCCGCACACCCGACCACGAGATCGGCTCCGCCCAAGCGAGGACGGGGCCAAACACAACTCCCGTTGACAGTCACCTCGGCCTCTCCCTCTGCCAAAGCCTCTCCCACGGCCTCGGCCTCTCCCTCCCCCTCTTCCTCTGCTGCCTCCTGCAGCTCCATACCCCTCAGCAGTCTTGTTGGCAGCAGCACCACCCATGTGGCACTTGCAGAAATCCTCCTTCAGAAGCTGCTGCCATAGCCACTCTGGTGTCCACTGATCCTGCTGAGTGTTGAGGGTGGGGATGAGGTTGTCCCACGAGTTGTTGAGGACCAAGATGATCTTGGTGCACTGCTGCATCTGCGACACCTTGCTGCCCGCCGCCATTCACGCAAGTGTCCTTGATCTTGTCAGGGACCAGCTTCACATCATCTCTCGGTCGCATGGAGAAGGCAGCCAGCTCCTTCTCCAACACAATCACCATCGGCATTGTGTTCGGCTGAATGATGTCGCGTAGCAGCTTCCATGCATTCGGCCCGAAGTTATCCAACTCCACCAAATCTTTGATGTGCTGAAACATATCGTTATTGACCGATTGAAGAATAAGGTTGTACAGCACCGCGCTCTTCTCAATCCACCGATCGCGGGCGTATCCTTCCTCCGGCATCTTCCTTTTCTTCTCTCATCGCAAATTTCAGCAGCTTGTAGCGCTTGAACACGCTCCTCATCCGCACGCTCCAATCCTCATAGTTGGAGCCATCCAATGCCTCAATCTTGGATGGTGGCGGCTCACTTCTCTTCTCAGCGGCATCTCCACTCCCTTGACTCATTTTCTCGTCACTAAATCACAGATCTCAGCTCCCCCTTTTCCCACAGTGAAGATTTCCAATACTGTCACACGTGTCGGCACCAACAAAATTTCGGCAAAGTTCTCCCTTACCTGAAGTCACAAGAAACCTTCAGAACTCCACTTAGGCCCACGGGCAATGGTGGGTCGAGAAGGGTTTTCACATCTCAGTAGACTCTTCACAAGGTCCTCAATCAGCTCTGATATTAGTTGACAGTGATAAAGGACGAAGTCTGGAATGTTTGAGGGCTACAACATGCTGGAGTTTGAGAACATTTGAACGGTGCACTTTTCGTTAACAACGTTTCTAGTAAAGTCAACAATTCTGTCCAGACTTCTAGTCCGAAGATTTTTGAGATATTTTGGCCCTTAAGCTTCCAAGACTCCGTCTTTAATCTCTAAGACTGTCACTTACCCATGTGGATGGTACTAAGAGCAAGTGTGTAAATTACCCATGTAAATGGTACTAAGAGTAAGTGGGATACTTATACATATGGATGGTGCAAAGAATCAGTGCGTAACTTACCCGAGTTGATGGTACTAGAAGTAAGTGCGTTTTTCACCCATGTGTATGTACTAAGAGAAAATGTCTTACTTATCCAAATGGATGGTACGACAAATAAGTGTGTTTCTTACGCATAAAAATGATACTAGAAGTACTTGCATCATCTACCCAAATAAATGGTTCTAAGGGTAAGTGTGTTACCCCAATCAACGGGAGCTAAACTACGGGCTAGGCACGGGGTGGGAGTGATCTCTGCGTTTGTTCCTTAGTCGTTTCCTTGTGCACACACTGCTTGCTAGTTCACGGGGGAAGTTTGGCAAGAGATACACTACGAAAAATTAACAATGATACAGAGTACCAAGGCAGCAATGACTACATCAGAGCTAGCATGCAAGCAGGACGACTGCCAGCGCAGCACGGTCGACCGTGTTCCAGCATGACTTGGTTGACCACGCTCCTGCAGTGCAAAATTGCGGCCTGCCAACAATGCAAGCCGACGGCGTGCCAACGCTGCAGCAAGTCGGTTGCACAGCGTTGCACCCGTAGGACAGCAGTGCACCTGCTTCGCAGATGCTCATAGATGATTGGCGTGCCAGTTCTTGTCACCTGCACAGCACACACATCAGATCGTCCATATGCTGTCTGATCAGCCATGTCGACCTCGGGATACCACCACCGAGGTCGGCCTCGCCACGAACACCAGGGCGACAGTCGCGTGCCTCAGCTGAAACCCGTCGCCCAGGTAACCTGGTCGACCAGGCAACCACGTCGACCAGTTCCTCCTTGTGCTCGTCAACCCTGCAGGTCGGCGACCACCACCGGTCGACCGTCCCAAGTCGACCGCGCACCTGGTCGACCAGCCCGAGGTCGACCAGCACACACATCAGCCGACCACCCAAGTCGGCCTCGCAAAGTCGGCGTCTCCAAGTCGACCCCCTCCACAGGTCGACCACGTAGTGGGCGCCCTCTCGAAATCGGCGCCCAGGTCTGTTCGACCGCCGGCTCCCCATCGTCGGCGGTGTGGCATTGGCCTCGAGCAGGTCGACCAGCTCGTCGACCTGCGCGCCCAAATCAGCGTCGCGCACTGCAACTTATCGGCTGCGCTCCCTGCACACCCGACTACGAAGTCGGCTCCGCCCAAGCGAGGACAGGGCCAACACCAACAACAACAACAACAACAACAACAACAACAACAACAACAACAACAACAACAACAACAACAACAACAACAACAACAACAACAACTCCCGTTGACACTCCCCTGCCCCGTTTGCGCTTGGGCCCTCAGCCCCAACGGCAGCACTTCTCGGAGAATAGCTCGTCGATGTGCACACAACACGCAACACACCGGTCACCGCATCAGCCATGCAGGAGGGCATGGCACCTACTGCTGCACGTCATCATCGTCGTCGCCCATGTCGGCCAGGCGCACTTGGCCGATTGCGACGGAGCACCGGTTGAAGGCCAAGTGGTGCAGCGCCTTCGTCAGGAAGTCAGCCGGCTGCTCGGTGGTCGGGATGTACTTCAGCGTGAATTTCCCGCGCCTCACCATGTGCTGCAGCCAGGCGTAGCGTCGCCGCTCCATTTGCTTGAGGTTGCCCGTCAACCGCATGCCTTCGGCAACCATGATGGCCGACTTATTGTCCACCCGAAGGACGGTCAGCATCCTGGCATCCAGCCCCCGGAACTCTGCAAGGAGGAAGCAAAGATGTTGTCCCTCCTTTCCAGCTTCAGTGGCGACCACGTACTCCGACTCGGTCGACGACAGCGTCGCGCACTTGATGCGCTGGCTCGACCACGAGATCGCGGCACCTCTGTAGACGAACACGTAGCCGCCCGTGCTCGTCCGGTTCTGCTTGTCGCCGGCGTCGTCGGCGTCCACGTAGCCGACCAGCTCTAGCGACTCAGGTCCACCGCCGAACTCTAGGGCGGTGTCACGCGTGTTGGCGAGGCATGCGAGGCAGCGTTCGACCTTGCACTAATGCTGGGCGCTCCTCTACGTGAGGCCGCTGCCCAGCTTTCTGTAGGCGAAGGCGATGTCCGGCCTCGTCGTCGTTCCAAGAACTGCAGCGAGCTGACCTTCTGCCGGTACTCCTCCTCCTGGCGCTCCTGCGCCTCCTCGTCGTCGAACGTCAGCTCGGCGTAGGCGTCGACGGAGACCGGCGTCTTCGGAGTGCGCCCGGTCTGCTCCTCGTCGAGAAATCGCCTGCGCAGCTTGTCGGCATAGTCCTACTAGTGCAGCCACAGCTTCCTCGCCGGCCTATCGCGCACGATCTCCAGCCCGAGGTACTTCTCCACCGGCGAGATCTCGCGCAATTTGAAGGCGGCCTCCAGCAGCTCCTTCAGCTTCTTCAGCATCGCGGTGCTGCTGCTGGTGGCGAGCAGGTCGTCGACGTAGACCAGCACCCAGCAGGCCACTTCGTTGTCGACGACCTTGAAGTACAACGCCTCGTCGACCTGGCTCTTCTTCCATCCGGACGCACGGCATCAAGCTCTTAGTACCATAGCAATGGCGACTGCTTCAGCCCGTACAGGCTCTTCAGTAGCTTGCACACCCGGCCGGTCCCGTCGTTGTAGTAGTCCGGCTGGTACATGTACAGCAGCTTGTCAAGCTTGCTGCATGAAGGCATTCTTCATGTCGAGCTACATCAGGTTGAGGTCAAGGACGGTGGCGATGCTAAGGAAGATCCTCAGCGTGACGTAGCTGCTCACTGGCGCGTACGTCTCGTCGTAGTCAGAGCCATATGTCTGCGTGAAGCCCTTCACGACCAGCCTCGCCTTCTCCCGGGCGACCGTGTCGTCGATGTGGTACTTGGTCGTCAGCACCCACCGGTTCTTCATAATGTTGACCCCGCGTGGGTGTCCCAGGTGCCGATGGTGATGAGAATGCGGATCTCCTCTTCCATTGTAGCCATCACCGCCCCACCCTTCCAGCTCGCCAGCGTCTCCTTTACCGACATCGTGGCGATGTCCCAGCGGTGTTCGGGGTCAGCGTGCACGTCGGGGTCGAGATCCGGCAGGTCGACATCCTCCTCGGCATCGTCGTATGTCAGGTCGTCGTTGTCGTTGTCGTATGCCGTGGTGTAGGCAGCCGGTCGTACGCACGTGTGCAAGGACAGGATGTCAGGCGGCCTCCGTGCTCGGCCTGAACGCCGTGGTCCGGGCGGGACCTCCACCACATCGGTGTCGGCGGACTCCTCGGCATCCGACTGCTCCCCTCCATCGTCAGCGGCTTCGCTGCCCTCACCATCCGGCTGTGCCAAAGTCGGCGTCCCTGCCAACTGCTCCCCTGTCGTCGGCTGCCCTTCCAACTGCCCGGTCGCCGACAGCTCCTTGGTCGGCGTCACCGCTGCCTGCTCCCCTGTCACCGGCTTAACTAAAGTCGGCTGCTCCTCCTCTGCGTGCTGCTCCCCCGTCGGTGTCGACTTCACTTCTACGCCGACTGGCTGGACGTCACGTCGGCCATCGACGATGTTCTTGGCCGGCGCCACAGGCGACGCCCCACTGCTCCCCTCATCGCCGGAGGCCGACACTCTGGAGTCTGCCCACGCAAATCAACGGCAAGGGTAGGGGAAGCAGGGGCAGGGGAAGGGGAGGACGGGACGACCTCGGCGTCCTCATCAGCAAGCTCACCGACCTCGGCGAGCAGAGGGAGCGTCGCCGTCGAGGTGTTCGTCGGCGGAGTGACCTGTGTCCGCCCCGACGCCGGCCCGTGCTCCGACTGTCGCTCAAACACCGCCAGCCTTTGCACGAACTCCTGCAGCACGTCCGACTTCTTGGCGACCGGCCTCACCCACACGTAGCGGGTCTTGCGGTCCTTTAGCAGCAGGAAGTACAAGCTGCCATCCTTGGCAGCCATACAAAATGGCCCGCAAAAACCGATGTGCATGACGGCGAGGGCTTCTTCGGCGTCCGAGCCCTTGTGGGGGAAGGTGTGCCACTCCAGCTTCCCGCCGAAGCACGAGACACACGGCGGATCTGCACCGGCCGACGGCTTGATGTCCAGGCCGGTGGCTGGCAACCTCATGCTTTGCCGAGCTCATGATGGTGTTGACGTCGACATGCGCAAGCCTCGCGTGCCACCTGCCCTGCGTTTCTTGGTTGCCGAGACAATCGCACCCAATGCCACCACCTCCGTCGTGGTCGACGTCAGCTTCCCCGTGCAAGGTCGAAGGTCGGTGCAGAGGACCCGGCTGGTATATGTCGCCTGACCAAGCACGTCTCCCGCTGCCGAGATGAGCAGCATCCCGTAATCATCGTTCTGCAGCTTCACGCCGTGCTCCTTTAGCTGACCAACTGACAGCAGGTTCGCGTGCACGTCCGGGACGTAGAGCACGTCGGGAATCAACACCTGCTTCCCCGCCTTCCCCTGCAAGGCGACCGTGCCCCTGCCCTTGATGTATTGCAGCGCCCCATTGAAGCTGCGCACGTGCTTGACATCGCCGCTCAGCTGCAAGTCGACGAAGGCCTCCTTTGTCCCCATCAGGTGGTGCGAGCAGCCGCTGTCGAGCAGGACCACCGCCGGGTTTGCCTACACCGCTGCTGCCACCTCCTAGAAGTCCTCGCCAGCCTCCGGCGCCAGCGAGACGGTCGGTTCAACGACGCCGACCAGCGAGCACTACGCCTCCTTGTTGTCTCGCCCCTTGCCGCCAGCAGAGGAGTCGGCGTCCTTCGCCGAATTCGACTACTTGTTCGACTGCTTCTCCTTGTGCGGTTTGCTTGCTCGACGTGGACAACGGCTGGCCAACCCTAGCGTCGTCCTCGTCGGAATCGCTGCGGTCGGGACACTCAATGGCGAGGTGGTCGGGGCTGTGGTAGATCCAGCACTCCTGATGCCGACTTCCTCCTCCTTGTTGGGTGCAAATGCACATTGCACGACATCCTGCCGTCTGTTTGTACGAGTATGCGTGTGCGAATGCATTTGCGTGTGAATGGTGTGTTTGTGTGTTTGTTTGCTTTCGCATTTTTCGCTTGATGCATTTGCAGGTACTCGCGCAATGTGCGCTTCGGCACAACATTGTATGCGCTATGAACAGTGCAAGCAGAAAGGACGAGCTCGCAAAGGAACCCAAGATGGAAGCTTTGCAGTTCGGTTGAGTTGATTTCGCAGATTCAGTTCTATCCAACTCGGAATTGTACTGTTTTGTTTGGTTAACTATAGTGTAGCAGGGAAGGCACTATAGGGGTACAATTTAGATGAAGGTTGGATGTTGTTTGTCTGTATCTGCATGCTACAAGGCCAGGGGAAACCAGCGGAACCAGCATTTGGCTGGTTGGGCAAAGACAAAACAGGTTCTGTTTTTAGAACCTGAACCTGGTTGTTGTTTTCCCAGGTTGGAAAAACAGAACCTGAACCTGAACCTGAACCTGAACCTGAACCTGGTTGTTTACCAACCTACCACCTGCTATTTTGTCCAGCCAGGTTGGTTCTGTTGCTTGGAATTATTTGGGATCATCCCTGGTTGTTCCCAGGTTGATTCCCAAGGTCCTTGCTAGCTAGAACTATTTAATCCTTCTCTGTTTGTACCTGAATATAGTAAAAATTGATTCAAGCGAATTCCTTCCTCGCTGGAATTTCGTTTCTGCGCTATTCGACGGCGGAATGCTACCCGAGTCAACGCTAGTATGCTAGCACTCCAACGCTAGGCAAACGTTGTCCGAGCCATAACTTAGTAATGGCAGAACTTTTCGCGAGGCAACTTGGCTCATTTTAAAGCTCTTGGAGCGAGCTTCGATATAGCGAATTCTCAGCTTAATCCGATCGACGGTCTGCACGGCACGCTGCGCGACGTTCAAGGTGCTCTTGCTGTTTTGACTAAGTCCTTCTTGATCCCTCTCTCTACAAACTCGGACCCGAGGATAGGGGCTGGTCTTGTACCAGGCACCCAGGGACCCTTGGAGGTGACCCCGAGGAGAGGTTTTAAGTTTGATTAAGTCCTAATAGCTTGAGTTTATTAGGCCCTTACACCAACAAGCTGGTATCAGAGCTGCGTTATAGTGATCCTCGTTATAGGTAGCTATGGCGGGCAACACCTCGGCGGGAGCTGGTGAATCTTCAGCCCAAGATCGTAGCGGCAGCCAAGATTCTGGTCTTTCAGCGCCAAGGGGAGCGCGAACAAACCAGGGCTCGCTTGTCAAGGAGGTGCTGAAGAATTTCACCGTCGAGAAGTTCAATGGTGAGGGCTATGATGATTGGGCCTGGAAAATGCAATTATATTTCCGTCAGATCGGTTTGCTGAAACTAATGATTGGGGAGGAGCCTAGACCGAGTGACCCCACGCTGCAGGAAGATTGGGACGAGCGCTCCTCGGCTGGCTACTATTTGATGTCGCAGAGTTTGGAGCTGAACCAGCGTCACCACGTCATGCACCTGCTGCCGGAGGTTGAATGCGGTCCGAAGGCGTGGACCGTGTTGAAGGAGCTGCACGCCCCGACCTCCGTTGTCGCAACGTTGATGCTGGAGAGGGAGCTGTCCGCGTTGCGCCTGAGCGAGGGAGAGCCGGTGCAACCAGTCCTGGACAAGATGCGCGACC